AAAGACGATTGGTTACATCTACACTATACCCAGCAAAACTAGCCTGGAGACACGATGAGAGGTAAGAGACATTTCCAAACAAACACTAAGAAAATTTATCACCACCAAATACTGCCAGATTTCACTCATAGACCAAAACCAAACAAGGGAATTTCATAGACATTAAGAGTAGAATATGGTCACTAGCAGCTGAGGAGAGACTGGAAAGAGGTAGAGAGTGATGAGAAAAAGTTGGTCAATAGGGAAGAGAAATAATTTGGTATTCTACTGCACCAGTAGGATGACAACAGATTAACAATGTACTCTATATTTTTAAATGCTAGAATAGATTTTGAATGCTTTTCCACAAAGAGATGATGAATATTTGAGGATACATATGCTCATCCTGATTTGAATATTACTCAATGTACACTTTTATCAAAACTTCACATGGTACCTATAAGTACATGCAATTTGTATAAACTGTGTCAATTAAAAATTAATATTAAAAAATTAATTGGTCCTAATGAGGAAGTACATTTATATCTTTCTATAAATGAGACAAAACCTAAAATACACAACTATAGCTTAAAAAAATCAATTTATTATTCTTACCCTATGACATCTTTCAAAGGCTTGTTTGGTTTCTTGTAAAAGATTAACTACCACTTCTTGAGATAGGAAAGTTTCCCCATGCGTATCAATACTTGGCCCCAGTGGTAAGTTGGTACGTTGTCTAATCCTTTCTTTCAAATCTTGAATACTAGTACATCAAAAAGACAAATGAAAAAAGAAGTTTACTATATTTAGGTTTTAACTGCAAATACTCTCAACTTTAATGCATATTTAAAAAAAACCAAAGTAAGCCAATAAACAAGACACTGAAATGCTAATTACAAAAACTCATTTTTAATCACTTTTATCAAAAAAGGATAGCTTTGGAGTGTATGTGCACAAGTGTGTCTGGGTGCATGCACCTGTTTGCTCACAAAGAAGCCAGATGAAGATGTCAGAAGTCTGACCTTGATCATTGTTTACCCTATTCCTTAAGAAGGGGTCTCTTGTTGCATCTGAAGCTGGGCTAACAATCAGTAAACCCTAAGGGTCCACCTGCCTGCTCGCTCCACCCAGTGCTGACAATATAGTTGTGTATATGGCTACATCTGGCTTTTTATATAGGTGCTAAGGATTTGAACTCATGTCATTATGACTGAATAGCAAATGCTCTTACTCACTGAGCCATGTCTCCAGTCTCTAAAGTTATGGTCTTTAAAGATATTTTACAGCTTTGGAATTTCAACTCAAGAAGCTATTCTAAATAACAAATAACTAAAAGTAGTCTTACATACAAAGAAAACTTAAAAATTTTAGTGCTTTTTTTTAAAAACACAACCATTTAAATATATGGCTCATGTCTTCACTATATTAAACTAGATCTATTAAGTACAACTGAGCATTTCTTAGTGACTAGGGATCACCTAGAACACTTATGTTGACATCTCTAGGCTAAACTACTTTTGCTACTAGAACATATAGCTCAGGTACTATGAACTCATTTTTTGAAGTCTTATGATTACTCTTTAGGTTTTTATTTTTTGAAATAAAAAGATTTTGATTTAGCACGAAAACATCTCAAGAACTTTTCTTTTTAAAATTTATTAGGTATGTGTGCATGCATTTGTACAGGTGCACATGGGTCAGAAGGCAGTTTTGAGGAGCCAGTTTTCCTACCGTGGATTCTGAGGATGGAACTTGGGTATTAAGGTTCACATCAGAAGCACTTTTACCAGCTGAGCCATGTTGCCAGCCCAAGATTTTCACTCCTTTACTAAAGCCATTCAGATATTATCTTTATTTATTATTATAACCTCCAATCATAACAAGAGCAGCCTGGGTGTACAAGTGTACAAGTCTGCAAGACACCAATAGAGGTTGGTCCTACTTGCAGGATCTGCTAGGTCCCATCTGGAAATGATCTGAGCAACTAAATGTCATCAACTTTACAGCAAATTCTCTTCTTTTCATATGCAAATTATCTCAGACTTTAAAGTATAAATCTAATAGTTTTATGTACAAATGACCAAAAAAGCTCATCAATTCAGTGCTGCCTAAAATGTAAAATATTTGCTCTGTTCTTTACAGCTTCAATAATAAAGGATGTGATTCATACTTAATAACCCAGAATAATTAACACTGGAAGGAAACTTAAGCTACAGAATACTTTATATTACTAGTATTATCTTTATATTATTTTGATTGAGAAGTATATGATTTACATTTTAATCATGTTAGTTTAGGTCATTTCAGTGTGTCATTTGAAAGCAGGATTTGGTCAATAGCACATACAGTATGAAGAGCTGTTCATAGAAAATCTTAATGACAGTTAATATTTACTAACTTTGCCCAAACTTAATGTTCTTAATGTTTTTAATGTTAACTATATTTAATTTTTAGAAACCTACCCTCCTGTGCCAATGGATCTCTTTTGGTGGTTTTTTGAATCATAATAGCGCTGGAGAATCATAGCACTTCTGCTTTTCAGATATCCAATCTCCACTTCAATATAGTTTTCCAAATAGGAAATGAAAATGGACTTGATAAGCTTAGACAAGAAAGTCTGTTTATCAGTACCTAAGTTAAACTCCATCAATTTGCTTGAAAGACTGGTGGTTCTTTTCATGGAAAAGAGAGAAAAGATTAATATATATTTTAGATACAGCAGCAAGATTAAAGACCCTATATATTCATAATAGGACTTTAATGATTTATATCAAACAATCATTTCTTAAATGTTGGGGGACTACTTAGGATATAGAAAGCAACTTACAAAGTTATATATGGAACAGAAAAAAAAACATTACAAATAATATTATAGCCTTGAAAACTGACATAAAGTGGTAGAGATAACCTAGAAAAAAGGCCATGGAGCAATGACTAACATAGAAATAGCAAAAACGGAGAGCAGCCTAAGGTATGTTCTAAAGCCTTCCCCCATAAGGAACCCACATGATTCTTAGAGTTCTACTGTCTATTCACCACTTCTGTCTCTGTTCATGGGGACTGACTTCTAAGTTTTTATTTCACACTGTTGAAGAGAATGTTGCTGCTGTTGTTAGGATGAACTTTCTCCCAAAACAATGGGACTTCAGATAAATGTAACTGCACTGATTCTTAAGAACAACAAAAACTAGCTCACAAATAACAAATAAAATTCTTAAGTCAGTTTAAACAAGGTCTTTTGCTAGTACAGTAAGAATTCTGCTCTTTTGTAACTCCAGTCTATACAGGCAAGAATTTAATGCAAAACAGGATGCTGCTATCTGATAAAGTACCTGAACACTTCCCATTTTCTATTAAAAGAGACAGAGAATATGAAATGTATTATTATCATCTAATAAGTAACAACAGACCTCAGCAAGGCATGGTCACACATGCCATGAAAGCTAGCATTCATGAGGAGAGGCAGCTAGACCTTGGTGAACTTGAGGACAGCCTGGTCTTCACAGTGAGTTCCAGGCTAGCCCTGTCTCCACATACCTGGTATACAGATCATAGAGACTTTTGAGATACTGCTCAGCATCCGATTTCCTACATTCTTCTAACTGATCTTTCACAAAACTCTAAAAATTAAAGTAACATTCTGTTAAGGAAATATTAAATTGTATAACTTCTCAAGATCATTATGTTAAATAAATAAACAAAACATAAAAACACAAATATCACATTCTTCCTCGTCTTTGAAACCTAGATTTAAAATTCTATGAGTATGTCGAAGGTAAACCAGAAAGGGGGCTGGAGGTAGGAAGAGATCTTAAGGAGGTAAGAGATAAGAGGGTGAAAGCGGAAGGGGACTTCCATGAGGAAACAAAGGGACTTCCTGGAGGAGGAGGGGGACAGGGCAGGGAAGCGGCAAAGAACAAAGAAGAACATACGAAGCTGCTATAATGACACCCATTTCCTGAAATGCTAACCAAATAATAATAATAATAATAATAATAATAATAATAATTAAAAAAAAATCTTTCAAAGGTCCCGAGTTCAATTCCCAGCACCCACATTAGGTGGTTCATAACTACCAATAACTCCAGCTCCAGGGGGAATCTAACACCTTTAGCTTCTGTGGGCACCTGCACTCATACGCATGAATACACACACACACATACACATGTGCACACATGATTGAAAATAATGAAAATAAATTTGAAAAATTTTGTAGAAAAAAAAAAAAAAAAATTTGAAAATAATGAAAATAAATTTGAAAAATTTTGTAGAAAAAAAAAATCAATAACACATTGCCCTAAGAACTATTTAATTCATTACTGTTTGAAGTTACCTGTAGTTTGATTTCAAACACATTCTGAATAAGTTTAGCCAGTACTGCTTCTGGATTACTAAAGATATCTCCAACTTGCTTGTTCACTCGCTGACAGAGTATTGCTGCATCTTCAAATATATCATTTCTCAAGTAAGCACCCTAAATGCCAGAGGTATTTTACATTGTCAATATATTACTTATAAATGGCTTCAAAATACAAATTAGTATAAAATAAAATTCAAAAGTATACTGTAAAGTTACCTCCTGGCACTGCTTTATATAAACATCAATACAATGGGAATAACCCTGTTAAAGAAGAAACAATGTTATGGTCTGGTTCTAATTATAATAACAATCTCAATAAAGTGTTACATGTAATAAAACTATATCTTGTATCCCAGTGAATGATCAACAGTCATCAGACTTAAATAAAATTAGAGGCATCGAACCATCTAGTAACTTAGCTAGTAACTTAATGGGTATCTTATCCTATCTTCTTTGATTAAATTAATAGGGTTTTTCAAATGAGGTTTTCCTCTCCAGCTCAGGTTCCGGGAAGATAGCTCCATAACCCACACATTTGTCTTCAGCACCCGAGATCTCTCAGACCCCTATTTCTAGCTACAGTGAATCTACTCTTTGGTTCATATCTTCCATCAGATGTTTACATTCAGGTTTTCCTACTTTTTACTTATTTACAAATATTTTTAATTGAAAATGATGTACTATAAGCAAGAAGGCTGATGGCATGATTTTCTCTCTCTAACTATATAAACTGCTTGTTATAGCATTAATATTACCAGAAAATCACTGAATATTAAGTAACAATTAACAAAAATCAATCCAAATTATTCTGTCATATAGTTATACAATAGTTAGGGGAAATCAAGAGACATAAAATATAAAATCTTCAGAAACTTGAAGACTAATCCTGAGTGAAAATCTTACCATTTACCTTAAAATGAAGTAAAACTGCTGCTACTTCTCTCATCCTGGAGATCTCCCCTCTTCTTTGGGCACTAGTAAACTCCTGAATCAGTTGGCATTCTAAATCATGGTATTTACCTAAAAACAGGAAATCATCCAACTGTATATAAATTACATACAACCATCTCAATCTACAAATATTGCAAAATTTATAGTGGCTATGGGTCTGTCTTCTTGGAAGAATTACAAAAACATGAGATTACAAACAGTGATACTAACTAGCTCATACAATATACTGACATACACAAATCTGTATTTTAAGACACAAAAATTACTAACTGGTAAAAATAGCTGAGCTCTTCAGAGTATAATAGCCATTTATAATTATTACTTAAACCAAAAGATGACTATATATTTGAATGAAAGAAAAAGGAGAGGAAAAAGAAGAAAAGAAATAAAACCCTTCAGATGTCAACTTTGATGGCAAAATATAGGAAAAAAATCCTTAATCTTTAATCTAAAGCTAGGAAGTATGAGAACTAGAATGCCTTTACCAATGCTGATACTTCTACTGAGAATAAGTCGATTAAATATCAAATTTTATCCTAAGATTGTATGTGGTCCTTGATGTAATACCATATTCTCAAGGCTATTATAGTTCTTAATTACTACTTGAACCTTAGACTAGTTTATAGTCATCAAAAATATTCCTAGGGAATCCAAATATCTATACAAGTCCTCATTCTAAGACTTGGAAAAACAGGTCGTTGGCTTTCTGAGAAATAGCTTACCAAACAGTGAACATAGGTAAAGGCTGCTAAAAAAAATATAGGGATTTTCCCCCCAGAAGCATGGGTATGGCTTAAAAGACAACCCAAAGACTGGCACAAGCCAGGTGTGGTAGTTCACACCTTTATTCCCACCAGCACTCAGGAGGCAGAAGCAGACATATAGATCTCTGTGAGTTCAAGGCCAACCTGTTCTACATAGTGAATTCCAGGATAGCCAGAGATATACAGTGAGACCTTATCTCAAGAAAACAAAATAACTCCCCCACCAAAACAAACTATAATCATACAAGGAATCAAACAGCTAAACAGGAATTGAAATGCTCATGTCTTCCCAATACAATAGAAAAACCCCTGTTCAGAGATATGTAAATGAACACAATTTCTAAAAATACATAGTAAAGCTAAATATAGATAGTCTAAAGCTACATGCTCCCAATTATTTTAAAATATAGAAAGATACATCAAAGTACACACAGGTACTACTAGAATATCCCAGAAATATTTTGAGGAAAGAGGCCTCAAACTATAGGATAGCATAGATCAATGGTATCATTCCCACTTTCTCACCTGTTGCTATTTTTTTTTAAATATGAGTTTTTTTTCTTTTTTAAAGATGTGCTTAATAAATAGATTGCACTTACTTGCAATTTTTGATTTTACTTCTGAAAACCTGAAAAACAGAAAGTCAATGATGAGGTACAATAATCATGACAAATCTGACATAATATAAGACAATACAAAGGGGGAAAGTGGGTGCAGTAATGAATGGGGACCCTCTATATTATCTAACTTTTCTTAAATATAAAACTACCATAAAAGTAAAATGCCACAATAAAAAAAAAAGAAAAAAAAACTGTGGAAGAGAATACTGAAAGAAAACATGCCAGGTGACAAAAATAAATGTAAGCAATTCAGATGAGATTGCTATTTCTCATTTAGGAAATGTACATGGACTCATTAATTCCTTTGTTAAAGGAGAAGTTCCACCTGAGGCACTAACAACCCAGCCAATCTCAAAGTTAGGTTACTGTCCTTACTTGTTCACTTGGCGGCTGTGAAGAACCACAATGTAAAGCTTTACTTTTTTTTAAATGATCATATATGATGGTATAGCAATTACAAATGACAAAAACCACAAATGAATTATTCTAAAACTAGGAAAATGAAAGAGACCATAAAAGGATTCAGAGATGTGTAGGGGTGGTTGTCTGTGCTTTACTCCTGAAGCACCACCCCTAGTAGGCAGCAGGTAACTGCTAGGTACCTGCCCTGTGGCCGAAGAGGGGGGACCGCTTAAGACTTGTTGGCTACCTTGTGGTTTTGGATACTGGATGCTGGTACTAAGGACCAAGGCAGAGTTCTCCAGAGAACTGTATTGGACCATGTCCCACCCCTCCTGGATCCTGTGACCAACTCCCTTATACATATTGCAAGTTAACTCAGAATAAATCCCTTTTGACTATCAGACAGACTCCGTGGAATTTCCACTTTATCTGGCGCCCAATGTGGGGCATGAACCCATGACCCTGGATTAAGAGTCCCATACTCTACCGAAAATTTGATTCAAACAGGAGAAACCCCTTGATGAGGAGAAATAAAGGCTCATCCACTGATGTGACATCTCTACAAGTTGTAAGAAAAATTTAACAAACAAGATTTGGGGCAGGGTTCTGTTTTCTGTCTTTACAGGATAATAGAAACACCCATCTTCCAGAAATCATAAGGCCTTGGATACCCAGACGTCTACAGCAGAAGGAAAGAACCTACTGGTACCAATATACTCTACAGGGTAATATCTCACTGCCTGACATCAATATCTCTTTAACTCGAGAATAGTTGATTCAATTATAAATCAAGCTGACTTTGGAGCTGGAATTTGGCTCCCTCCTTTTCTAAATCCAAGCATATTACTAAAAGAAAAATTAGGAGATCCTGTCTCATATCAGAAGAGCCAACTGGTGTGAAACAGAAGAAAATCAATAACTTAGGGACCATTGTTATCTAGACTCTATTTCTATGCTTTTCCTTGCCTTTGAAGAATCCCTTCTCTATCCAATATAAATCCCAAGTTTTCCATTTTGATATTGAAAATGTTCAAGTTTTTCCACAGTAAAAAAACAAATCTTTTCTAATAGCAATCTCTGAAGTCTCCAGAAGGAAGATGGGGTCCCACAACAACTCTACCCAGTCCAGAATGAAGTCACAGTATCCATGAACAATACTCAGTGATTAACTTTGGACTAAAAACTCTCCAAATTAGTTCCATGATAAGATGGTCCATGATATCACACTTTTAGCCAGAATCTCAGACAACCTTACCCATTACTCTGAGACTGGCTGCAGAATCTACAGTTAGTCCAACTGAGACCTGACTATCTGAGCTTTCTTCCAGGACCCCACAGAGATACCATAGCCCCCAAAACAGCAGGAAGCAATTCTAAGAAAACGATGCTCCTTTTCCCAAATGTTTCATGTTTCTCAGGATTATGGATAATGGTTATAGGGTTGGGGGTGGAAGAAAATATTGGACTCAATATTCTCCTTAGGAAAAGAAAACAGGGAATGGATAGGTATAGGATATTAAGGTAGATTATTGTATATACTAGTAAACTAATTTAGCAAAATATCAGCCTTAGGTAAATTGTACTCTTATGGATACTTGTATATTGATACAAATGTAAACTATTTTCATATTTCTATTTAAGATAATGTGCGTATTGATACAAATACAGAACTATATTTGTTGTAATGTACATATATTTCTACTCATATTTGAAATGTTTATATATTGATATGAATGTAAAATTATATTTGTCATACTATATGTATGTTCTACCTCTGTTTAGGATATTTTCTATATTGAGACATACTTAGAATTACTGTCATATTGCGTACATTCCTACCTCTGCTTAAGCTGTTTTGTGTATTGTCACAATTTTGAGGTCACTGTCTTTTTACTATACATTTGCTTATAGACTGTCTACCTTGTTCACATAAAGCCTTAGCTCTTAGGTTATTTAGGTAGATAAGACATATTTATAGTCACCTATGCTTGTCATCTCTATAGTTATGTTAGTTAGGTTGTCCAGATTTGCAGATATATAGGTCAGATGGACAGGTAATCTTCAAACACTTCATGGACCTAGAGAATATGGCATTTAAATAACTTAGAATTCTATTGACATGAGACATGATTGCTCCTGGCAGCACTGATTTGATCCCGAGAGAATGCTGGGCTTCTAAGACATTTCCATTTGGAAGTTTGTCTTTTTCTTGGCACAAAATGGCCTACTGGGCAAAGAACTGCCCTTGCCTTGACTGCTCACAGTACGAATACTGTCCTTTCTGAATGAGCAAGACACAAGGAAAAGTGACTACTGAACTCTACCGTCTAAGACAGTAAGATGGTCTTTCAAAATTCCTGCTTCTGAATGGTCTGTCAGACACTCTAGGCCTGTAGCCAATTTGAATGCACCAACGATGCTAAGAAACTCTAGGTGACTGTCCAGGCTGCCAGCTGTCTCTGTCTACTCTCGCAAGACTCCTGAAAGGTGCTTGCGTCCATCTCCCAGTTTCTCAGATATTATTATATTTCTTCTCAGGTCTTTGATGGGATTGAAGACTAATAGTTACAGTTACAATCTTCTTGTATCTTAGCTAGAACATGTTAAGTATTAGATTCAGGTTCTTCAGGACAGACACCTTTTGGAATGATCTCTGTAAGTGCCATTTACCTATGCTCCAGACGTCTCTGGATTTTAGTATGTGTCTCTTGTTTGATGCTGCTCTCGTTAATTGTAGCTCCATTTGTTTATGCCAATACCCTTTATTTCTCCTTGATAATTATTCCTATTGTATATGGTTTTGTGTTAGGTTAGAACTTTCTTCCTTAGACAAAAGGGGGAGAGGAAGGAGTGATTGTCTATGCTTTACCCCTGAAGCACTACCCCTAGTAGGCAGCAGGTAACTGCTAGGTACCTGCCCTCCCACCCCCCAGGCATGGCTGAAGGGGACCCTTAAGACCTGGAATGTGTAAGTACTCACTCTCTCGGCTACCTTGTGGTCTTGGATGCTGGATGCTGGTACTGCAGATCAAGGCAGAGTTCTCCAGAGAACTGTGTTGGACTGTGCCCCACCCCTCCTGGATCCTGTGACCAACTCCCTTATACATATTGTGAGTTAACTTAGAATAAATCCCTTTTGACTATCAGAGAGACTCCATGGAATTTCCACTTTAAAGATGAGTCTAGGAGAATAACTGTCAATTTTTACAAACTTAAAACCGTAAAATACACTAAAAACTTTTCAAGTATTAAGCATCAAGGAAAAAGGATTTTGAGAGATCCTTTACAACTGATCATTTGAAGAAAGAAGATGCTAAAAGCAGGTGAGGAAGGATTACACAGTTAAAGCACTATATAGAAATAACAAAGCCCACAAGAGAATGGCTATATTGATCTATGTGAATACATTAGATCTGATTAGGATATATATTCAACTCCAGGCTTGGCTAGAGGCATGTCAAACGTATGAGAGCTTGGGTTCACTCCTCAGCATTCAGAACCCTCCACCCCCCCAAGGAATAGAAAAGATAAATATAGGCATGAACAGTAACAGTCTGGTGGAGAAAAGTCAGAATGGAAAGCAGGATACAGAATGTAGCCAACTATTAACATCTACCTAATCTTGACCCAGACATTTTATCCACTTAAGTAAGGGTCCTACTCTTGGGTGACTAAGAAAACTACTACTCTTCATCCTTTATGATGGTACAGGGTTGAGAATGAAAAAAAATTATTGGGGGTGGTTAACTGTATGCTAGGAAAATAACAGTCAAGCTTTAAGTACAACAAACTATATCCACATTCTATCTGCATCCGAAGATCTTCAAGTATCAACAGATGAAAACCATGTTCTATATTATGCAGAGAGCTGTATTTCTTTCAGATAGTTACCTGAAGGAATTGTTTCTTATGAGAGATCATGAAGAGCATTTCTTTCTCAGTGGACAGTTTATTTTAAAGTAGAATCTAGTTAGTGATGGCCCCAGGACCCTGCATTACACAGGCATTCTTAACTTACATTCTCTAGGATAGGTTCTATGGGTAGTCTAAAATTCCATACAATTACATACCACAATCTGTATACATCTTAATTTTTTGAAGAAACTATATAGCTCTCACCAGCTTTTCAAAGGTGACCAGAATTCCCCCAATTTAATCCTGGTCTATTAATACAAAAAGAGTTGAATAGCCAAGTTAACCCTGGTTCTCAAAGTTCCAAATAGGAAAATTCAAAATCTTACTTTGTCAATTTAAAAGATCTCCTTCATCAATTTTGTTTTTCAAAAAACAATGAAGTTACTTCAAGGTATATCATTATATTACACTGTATCTTATACAAATGAGGTGCTCAATAAATTCTTGCTGCCTTAATGAGCAAGAAAAATACAGGAAAAATGCAATTTTATCCCATAAATTATATTTACTATTAAGTTCTTGAGGTATAAACTTGCCTATCGAAAGGTAACTCCTGGGCAATCAGATGCAACTTCTGAATGACGTCTGCTGCTTCCTTTATCTATTAGAAATAAGTAAAAGCAACAATTAAAAAGAACTCTTAGATTACAAAAATTAATAGTATAGCTGAAAAGAGTAATACATAGCCATAACGCCTGACCCAAACAATCTTCTTTAAAGCCTTGGGGGCAACACCATATCAACTCAAAAGCCAACCACGTATCTTTCTGGTGCTTAAAATATTGTGGTTTTTTTTTCTTGATGCCACAATTCTTCCCCCAACAAAGTCTGCAATTCAATTTTACTCTCTGAAAAAATTAAAAATCCTTGTTTGTCAAAAGCAAAGTGGAAATTTCTTCTAAGTTTATGAGGTCAAACAAAACAGACAAGACTTGAGGAGAAGATTTAGAGTAGACAACTGCATATATTAAGTTGAATGATTTAATAACGTACAAAAAAGATACAATTTAATACAGTATCTTAAATGAAATATGCTTATATTTTCAAGGATTTATTTTCAAGTTGAATAAAGGAATTTAGGCAAGGTTTCTAAAATTCTTTAAATTACAGACATTTATGCTTATTTATGAAAAAGTGTAAGGAAGTCATACAGGGGCCACTTTTTCCTTTAAATTTCAATTTAGTACTTTTATTTTCACACCATTTTAGTAACTGACTTCGTGATGATTTATACTGTTTTACATGAAGACTCATAGAACCATAAAGGAAGGACTAAGAACATTAGTATAGATATTTCTAAGAGCTTATGTGACCCCTGGCAAGGGATAGTGGCAGGACTTGTTCTTGCTTATTCCATGCAATAGTCCACAGTAGTATTGCTGCTTTAGACCTCTCCCTGTCTGAGTCAGCAAGTCACTCATCTCAGCTGCCATGTGCTCTCTTCAGAACCCTGACACATGTGAGTGTAAGTGTTACTGCAGCCGCACTACTGGCCATGCTGCTCAGTCTTACTAGCAAAGCCCACCATTTTTTCCTAGTCAGTATCCTCTTCAGAACACAGCTACCAGTCAGCCAGCTCTGCTTCCATCAGGATTTTGTTCTTACTCCTTTTAGGAAGCATGCTGTTTGTAAATTCTGCGAGATGCAGTAGAAGAACCACAGTTTTGTTTCGGAAAAGCTGTTTTTACTGAATCCTCAGAGCTAATTGTTTGGTAAGAATTGTTTACAATATCACTTTAAATTGCTTGCATTTGAACTGTTTAAAGCAGTCATCAGGTCTTACACACAAAAAGCACTAAACTACTACTCTAAGAAAAAGGTGTAGCTCAGTTTGTAGAGTGCTTGCCTAGCATACACAAGCCCCGAGTTCCATTCCCAGCATCCTATAAAAACCAGTGTGGTGATATACAACTGTACCCAGGACTTAGGAGATAAAGGAAGCAGAAATTCAAAATCATCTTTGGCAATGTAGAGAGTTTGAGGACAGCCTGGACAAGAACTCATCTTAAAAAAAAAACAGAAAGAAAGGAAGAAAAGAAGGAAAACAAACATACGTGTATGGACAGAAATAAATATAAAACAGATTTTTTTAAAGCAAAAAGTATAAGATCCCTAAAAGACTGCAAACTTTGTTTAATGTATGTAGTAAGAATAGGCAAGTAGAGTTTGCTTTTTAAAATACACATGTATCAGAGAGAGAGAGAGAGAGAGAGAGAGAGGAAAAAGAAAAAGTAATATGATGTGTTTGGCATTTTATCTAATTCTAATTCCTCCTACAGTCACACTTCTTTAGAGCTATGTGGGTGATTTTCCTTTTCTTTCCATTTGGAAAGTAAATGGCAAAAATTCAGAAACTGAGATAGCCAGAAGTTTATTTGATAATTGTCAATCTAATGTCACATATGAATTTAATTTTTTTATTTATTTAAAAGTATGTGTATAGCTTTTGCCTACATATATGTATGTGTACCATGTGCATGCCTGGTGCCCACAAAGATTAGCTCCCCTGCAACTGGAAATATGAATGGTTGTCAGCCACCCATGTGGATGCTGGGAACTGAACCTGTGTCTCCTAGAACAGACAACTCTCAAGTCCCCGTATTTGCAATTGTAACATATGGCTAGCTGTTAAAGTGCCAGCCCAAAAACTGATGACTCCGAATTATTAAAGAATAACCAAGTGACAAGAACAAAACAAAGCCAAGTGGGGAAAGCAGAATAAAGTATACAGAGCACAGGAGACCAAGAAAAACGGGATTGCAAGTCAAAGTGAAGCAAAGGAGAGAAACTATTTTAAATACTGTGAGTCTCCAATTATGATGACTCAGGAACCAAGAAAGGTACTAACAATGTAAAGATGGTTTTCTTTCGATTAAAACCTAAAGGGGTTAAGAGTCAACAGTAACATCAAGAAATATGTGATTAGTTGATGGTAACTTTAAAATTTTAAGGATTAAAGAGTAAACATTCAAGTAAATATAAATCAAGTTAAAAAAAATCAGTCAATGTAAATATACTTTTTGCTACTTCTATCCAGAGTTTCAAAAGGAACGTAGCAATAAAATGACTTCTAATGGCGTTCTGCTACATCCATTGATCAATGTCTCTTCAGCCATCATCAGAGATGCTACCTCCTGCACTAGATGGGAAATAATAGACAGACCCACAACTGGACACTGCAAAGAGTGAGACTTTAGAGCAATCAGTCCTAAATGGGATATCTCTAGCTTTTCTCTCCCTTCAAGGTTCAGAGAACCCTGCAGAAGAGGCGGAAAGATTATAAGAACCGGAGAAAACAGCAAGAAAACAAGACCTTCTAAACATGGCAAGACCTTCTGACACATACATGAACTTACAAAAACTATGACAGCATGCACAGTGGTTACACAAGTCTGGGCCTGATGGGGTCCCAGTGCTGAGATGGGGAGGGGACACAAGCCCACATCCTAAAACAGAAGCTCTCTCCATTGATAACCACTCACAATAATGAAAAGTTAGGTTTATCTAACTGTGTCTCACTCGGTATACAAAGGCCAGGCCCCATGTCCATCAGCAGATAGCCAACACAGAATGAACACAATGGCATTTTGGAGGCTCTTTGTCTTATAACACTTTGTAAGGTTTTTTTTTTTTTGTTTTGTTTTTTAACTTTGTCTCATAATGCTTTGTAAGGGCTTTTTGTTATTTTTAACTTTATAGGTCCTTTGTATATATTATGGTTCCCAGTTTTATATTTTTATGGAATTTCTATATGTGTGAATCTGAATCTGTATGTTTTTTGAACTTTTTCTTTGGCTTATTTTTTTGTTTTGTTTTGTTTTTTGTCTTATACTGGTTTGCTTTTATTTTGTATAATAATAACAACTTTGATGATGACAATAATAATTTCTGAGTCTCCATTGCACGTTGTCTAGGTGTGTTTACCCCTTCCAACTGGTCTCCAAGGTGACACACTTTGGTGGCTACATAGCTAATGTGCTCATCTAGTTCTTGGAAATGTTGGAAGGCAACCTAGAAATATGTGCACACAGAGAATATAATCAGAATTGTTTATTAATAATTTTTGTATAATCCCAATAATTATTTTAGATACCTGCTTGTATCATAATAAGTGAGAAAGGGAGTAGACTTGGGAAAGTGGGAAAGTGGGGAGGATTCAGGAGGAGTTGGGGGAGGAAAAACCATAATCATAATATTATATTAAAAACAATCTATTTAAAAAAAAAAAAAAAACCAAAATGGGCTAACATATTGGTTAAGATAGTTGTATTTTGTTTAGAGCATACAATCTAACGGGTACAACCAAAAGTAATCCAAGGAATCAGTCTTACTACATCCAACTCATTCAATAGAAAATAGAATTTTCATGTTTTAAATCGGTACTTTCATACTATATTTATTAAGATTTAGAAAAAAAAGCTTAAAAATTCCACAACCATCCTGAAATGCAATTTGCTGTTCAAGTCTCATATACATTCTTGTATATAAACCACATAAATATAAAACAATACTATGATATTTATCAGGACTACTTTATACTATAATTCTCAAAACTCAATCTTTAGAACACTGTCTTTCTTTAGAGGGATTATCTACTGACATGTAACCATTTTTATATATAGATATTATAAATCTTTTAGTTTTACAGAGTTCTACTCATAAGAATATGTTGCTTAATTCAAAACAAACTTCATTAACATTTAGTTTTTAACATCTTGAAATCTAATGTTCTACACAGTAAATTTGGAATAAATCAGTAAAACTGCATTCAACAAATGAGTGGGTAACAATACAACAAGCATATAGATTCATGAGACTATCTTTTTTCTCATAAATTGTTATTTTTCCCTAAAAGGGAGGAAAGCAAGCTAAGTTGCTTTCTCTTAATTGTAGAACAACCAATAACATAAAGGTACCTTTAGATGAAGATTAAGTGGCTATGTTATGAAAAAAATAACAAAACTAACTCAAGAGTTTTCAATGATCATGGTCTAATTTGCTTTAATCCTTTGTAAGGGATCTTTATTCAAGTAAATAGAAGAAACTAGGACTTGTGGATTCCATTATAAAAAGAGTTCAGCTCCTCAACAATTCAGGTCAGGTCTACTACCATATAGTATATAACTATTAAAGACTATGTAAATTTCATTAATGTTAAAAGTAAAAGGATAAGGAAATACTTAAAAATAGTTATCCCAGCATTTATAATGAATTATAATTCCATAAATAAAAATGCAAGGCAACTGTTAACAGGTGTATGAAGCTCCCACACAAACAAATAAATCTTTTTAAAAATACAAGGCAAACCAATTAAAATTTGATTATTGCTTTTATTCGGACAATGCTTACCTTTTCAGAATTTGTAAAAACATCCGATTTCAATTCTCCATCTAGAAACTCATTAAAATATTTCATCAACTTCTGAGCCTCCACTGCACGTTGTCTAGGTGTGTTTACCCCTTCCAACTGGTCTCCAAGATGACACACTTTGGTGGCTACATAGCTAATGTGCTCATCTAGTTCTTGGAAATGTTGGAAGGCAACCTAGAAATATGTGCACACAGAGAATATAATCAGAGAAGTTTGTAAGTTATTAAGTTTATAAGTTAATACTTCTCAAAACTAAACTACCAGCTCAGGGCATTAATGGTAGATCACTTGCCTATCATGAACAAGTCCCTGGGTCTGACCCCTAACACAGTAAAAACATATTTACTATACCAACCCCTAACACAGAACATATAGATGAGGTCCATAAAACAATTCATACTCATTAGCACGGCATGATCTGAAAACTCTTAACCAAGTTTCCAACTTTTATACCATAGGCACCAAAGAGCCCTAAATAATGATTGTGAAAACAATTGAGTATCAAAGGGACTAGACCTAGGGGAGGGGAGAGCATGCATGTGGGGAGGTACGCTTGCCTATGCAATGCAGTTTAGAGATCAGAGGTCAACACCAGATGCCTTCCTCTACTGCACTGTAAGACAGTCTCAGTGAACTTGGAGCTTACTGTCATGGCAACCGGCAAGCTCAAGGGCTCCTCCTGTCTGTTTCCGCCATCCCTTCACCCCACCCCTGTGCTGGGTTACAGATGAATGCCACCAAATGCAGCTCTTCAAGAACTCGGGTCCTCATGCTCGCAGAGCAAGCCCTTTACACACAGGCCCCTCCCCAGCTCAATGGGACTGGACTTTTAAAAAATACTTTCGCTACTAAACTGAAAAGATTAGAAAAAAACGTATTAGAAGTGGAAGGGTACTGATTAAAAAGAAAATATTAACATTAAAAATATTTAAAAAGCAATACTTAGCTGTGCTTGGTGGTACATGCCTGTAATTTCAGCACATGAGACACCGAGATAGGAAGAAAATTGCAAGTGAGTGGCCAATCTCCACTACATATCAAGACTCTGCCTTAACACTTCCAACCAAAATGCAAGTGACACTAGTAAATCTGTGATCAATTTGTTCTTTGCAAGTTTTGAAAACAAGATAGACTACAGAAATTATTCTACTAAAGCAAAGATAATACTTTCTGCATTCTCTTTCCTTTGTCCTACAATACAAAAAAACTGAACGCAATCAATTCCTTAGATTTGCCAATAGCAGGACAATTGATAACTGCTGATAATTCAGTAGGATACTTTTGTTCTAATCTTTAGAGGGGGAAAAGCTGCAACATTTATTAAGGACTTGCTTTGCATCAGATACTATCCTAAATATATCGCTTATCAATTATATATTACTATCAATATGTTTATTCAGTTATCATAACCCATTTTACACATAAAAGCATGACGCTCAGAGATGTTTAATTGCTTGAGATTACACAATTAGCTTAGTGGTCAGGCTATAATTCAAACTCAGACAGACTGGCTCCAGTCTGTTACATAACTATTAATATTATTTTTATTAATCAAGGCAAAACTCTGTTAGAAGTATATGAAAACTGTCACCATGATTATTCAAAACACACTTAAATTATTGATTTCTTTAATCAAATACTTTACCATAGCCATATATGCTTAAATAAAAGGACATGAATGAGCTTATAGCAGAAATGAGCTTGCTCCCCGAGAGTGAACAAAGTTCAACAATGTTCTTCAAACTATTAGAAAAGACAAATTCCAAATTAAACCAAGCCAGGGAAAGAGATTTAGACATTTAGATCAATCCCAAGACCTAATAGGAGCTAAAAAGTCTGGCATGTGTAGCCCTTGCGGCCAGACTAGTGGTTTGGTTTTACTGAATTTACTGAAAAATGGACTGAGAAAGAGAGCTCTCTACCTGCTTTTCCCAGTTACAGTAGAACTTGCATTGAGGCATATCCTAATGCCCTTTGTGAAACTACTCAAATCAAATTTCTTTAGGATAGCAGTTCTCAACCTGTGGGTCATGACACCTCCCATATCAGACATCCTGCATATCAGATATTTAAATTATGATTCATAACAGTAGCAAAATTATAGTTATGAAGTAGCAACAAAAATAATTTTACGGTTGGGAGTCACCATAGCATGAGGAACTGTATTAAAGGGTCACAACATTAGGAAGGTTGAGAACCACTGATAACCACCGCTCTAGGGGAACACCTGATCCAGATCTGGTCATATTTATGATTAAATAGAATTAAAACAACTTCTTAAACATCCATTCTAATAAGGAGTTTCTCAAAGTACAGGTCTATGGACTAGTCAGTCAATCTTGTGAACGCTTACTCAAGAGCTGAAGCAAGGGTCATAACCTGGAAAGAGGAATGCTGTGCTTCCAAACCCACCCAATGAGCACACCAATGCCAACAGTAGGCAATAATACATCATTTTATTACACAGGACCAGAAAGTTAGAAGTTATTATACTTTGACTTGACTCTTCAAATGCCTAAAGCTGAAAAGGCAAGATCACAACAATATTACAACCTAAGAAAAATGAAAATATGGTATAGTCTCAGCCAAATGTATACCTGATTGCTTTTCTGGAGCTCTTGGACCTTCTTAGCAAATTCCTTAGCTTCCTTCTGACACTGTTGTTCTAACTTCTCTACTTTCCTTTGAATCCTTTCGTCCATTATCTGGAGTTCCTGAATATGATTCACAAATTCTTCTAATAGCCTGTAGAGGACAGTAATAATACAATCAACTTGACTATTACTAATCAAAAAGGGATGACCAGGTCCCTTCAGGAAGGTCTTAATAGGGTTTGGTGAGACAAGGACGAGCATGTTCATTTTCCTTACAGTATCTTGTTGTAATTTCTTCAATGAAAAAAAAAAAAAACTTTTGGCAATGTCATAATTTTCTTTTCACTTTTAACAGGTGACATAGCATTTGGAAATATAGGCAGTTGTTATTGACTTTGCAATGGATTATCTCTAAGGCAAAGGAAAATCTCAAAGAATTCCCATTAAATATCCAAACAAACTTTAGCATTTAAAAATCAAGAAGGTAAATGCACAATAAAAAATACACATAAAAGACTTCAATGACTTTGTTTCTCTGATTTACAGCTGTTAGGTTTAAAAGAACATAGTCAACTTTTTATTATTATTATTATTATTTGTTTGTTCAGGCTCAGAGTTTTGCTATGGATTCCAGGCTAACTTCCAGCTCCCAGCTCTGCCTCAGCCTCTATTGCTGAGATGATAGGTGTGCACTACCACACCAAGCCATGGTTTAACTTTACAAGTATATAACCAGACTTTTCAACTTAATGCTAAGCAGAGAAATTAAATTCTTAATGTCAATAAAATCCCTTCATTCAATCAGCTAAAGTGCTTCAGGAAAAACACAATTTCAGACTTGTAATGCTGTGAGAAATTTTTTTGAGATAGGGACAAACTGTTAAACTCGTTTTATATGAACACTGAAAGGAATCCCAATACAGTCATCTCTAATCTAAACACAATTTGTAGTCTTACATTGGGACTATGGAAATTTTGTTTTTTAGTTTACCTTTTAGGATCAAAAGCTTCAGGTCCACCTCGAGACCCACCTCCTGGGGTTCTCCACACAAGACGTTCAATGTATTCATCGGCCACAAAAGGCTCCTGATTCACAGAAGAAACATGTTTTAACAAGACCTTACAGAACAACTTACAGGTCTAAAACAGGCTTTACTACACAGAACTTGAAAATTAATGTCTATTATTATTAAAAGATATTTTGTTGTTTAAAAATTCTCAATAAATAAAGCTGTTTAAAGAAAAGTAGTATACTAAAATATTAGAACAGCATTACTGACCAGTTGGAGCAACCAAATAGGAAATGAGAAAACAAAACACATGAACTGTATAGCTTTACTAGTAATCCAACAAAGCCAAGTGATCTTTTTGGGTGGGCGGGCAGGCATGAGGGAAAACAGGGCCTTCCTCTGTAGCCCTGGCCAGTCTTGCTATAAAGACCAGGTTGGCCTTAAACTCAGAGATCCTACTGTTTCTGCCTTGCCAGGGCTGCTGGGATTGAAGTCCTGTGCCACATGACATCCAGCAGGTTATTATTTTTTTAACCTCAGAGTGCAGTGTGGTGAGAGGATAATACTGAAATCTGCACACGCACTGCTGGCAACAACAGGTAGAACCTTTAGAAGACAGCAGCAACCTTTTAACAACATCAACAGGGTTAAAAATGCTCAACTCTAACCTCCTGGCTTTATTTTCCCACCACTTGGAGACTGAGGCAAGATCACAACAAATTCTTGGTTGCCTAACAAGCCCATGTCTCAAAAACTTAAAAACAGAAATTAAAAATAAAAATTGCAAGGAAATGCATATACAAACAAAAAATTCTGGAGTAACTAAGCATTGTGTGTAATGCTGATAACTACATAGTCAATAAAACTGCATAAAATTATATGGAAAGCTATATCCTAATAAAACCACATAAAACAATAGTCAATGAAATGAAGAAACGTGTACATGATCTGATAACAAGCATATTAAATTTTCTTAGACAATTTATTATTAGATTACTATTATTTAAGTTATTAAGGTAGAAGGTCCAATAAAAAATAATAAATATGCTGGGCAAAATGATGCATTGCTTGTAATCCTAGCACTTTCAAACTTTTGAAGGGCAAAGACTTGTGAAAGTAACATGAAAGAATGAAGTCACACACACAGGGTCACCTAAGAATATTAGCAGGGCTTATTATCACATTGGTGGCCAGATGCCTAATAAGTTCAAAGTGCTAAGACAAAAAATTGTCAAAGAATCCAGCAACACCAGCATTCAAAAGCAAGGGAGAAATTAAGATGTCCCTAGATTAAAATAAATAAGTAAATAAAAGCTGAAAGTCTGTTACCACTAGACCTGCCCAGGATAAAAGGCAAAATAGCCGGGCAGTGGTGGCGCACACCTTTAATCCCAGCACTCGGGAGGCAGAGCCAGGCGGATCTCTGTGAGTTCGAGGCCAGCCTGGGCTACCAAGTGAGCTCCAGGAAAGGCGCAAAGCTACGCAGAGAAACCCTGTCTCGAAAAAAAAGAAAAAAGAAAAAAAAAAAGGCAAAATAAATGGGCACTAAACAACAACCTAACAACATATGAAATTAAAATCCTAATAAAGATTGTTGAAAGGTCTTGCTGGCTGGTCAGAGGTTGCAGTCTATCATGGCCTGGTAGTTTTTTTTTCCCAAAAGCTCAGGGACACGAAGACTCCCTCCTTCCCCTGTGAAATTTCCTGCTTTCTACCTGCCCTTATCTGGAGAATGTTCCTTGGCCCTGAGGACTGACCTATCTGAAAGCTGTCTCTAAGCCAGCTGCCTGATTTATCTTTAGCTTGACCGTTGGCACAGATTCCTGCTAAAAGACTTGTACTAGGAGCTCTGCTACAGGACCCTACTGCCACAGATGAAACCTTGTGATAGAGCATGCCACTTAATGGAAATTAGGGTTTGTCCCCAGGCTCCCCAGTCCTATATATTCCTTATACTCTGGAATAAAGTTGAGCTGATTCACTGAAGTCTGTCTCCCAGAGGGCTGCCTCTATCAGACCCACAGCCGCCCAAACCCTGTTCCCTACTCCTGCTCCCTCTACCCTCATGGACCAATGAAGCAACAATCCCAAGGAAGAAGCAGAGCTGCAAAGGATAAGTAAACAGATAGGTAGTCTTAAACAATAATAACCCTGGCTACAACTTGATATTTTGTTGCATGCATAATTTAAGAAATTAATAATATATTTTAAAAATTATAAGCTTATGTTTGGGGCATACAATATATAAAGGTAATTTGGTGATTCAACAATAAATGAGATATGAATAGAGCATAGTTATTAATTTATTGAATTGAAGCTGTTATAAATTCAAACTCGAGTGTGCTAAGAATTCAAACAGAAGCCTCATGGTAACAATAAACATAATTCTACAAAATATACAGATAAATAAGTGAATACAGAATGTAAGTGTTTCAGAACAAAGCAGCAACTAAACTGAGAAGACAGGCCAGAAATGAAGGGCAAAAGCTGTAAGGTACAAAGAAAGTAAACAACAAATTATATTAGTCTTTTCTAATTAGCAACTACTTTACATATAAGTATTAAACTTTCCAGAGATTGGCAGAGGATCAAAAATAGGACCTAACTACATGCTGTTTGCAAGAGACTCACAGTGAAAGGATGGGAAATGATATTCCATATTAATATGTTATGGGATAATCTTTTTGTACACTGTGAAGATGTGTCCTTGCCAAGGTGCCATCTGACTGGTTTAATAAAAGCTGAATGGCCAGTAGCTAGGCAGGAAGTATAGGCAGGACAGTGAAACACAGAGGACGCTGGGAAGAAGAGGGCAGAGTCAGAGGAAATGCCATGAAGCACAGAGCAAGCAACATGGGAAGTTCATATATGAGGTAAACGAGCCTGGGGCAGCACATAGATTAACAGAAATGGGTTAATTTAAGTTATAAGAGCTAGCTAAAAAACAAGCCTAAGCTATCAGCTGAGCATTTATAATTAATAATAAGTATCAGTCTGGTTATTTGGGAGTGGCTGCTGGAACAGAGAGAAACTCCACCTATATAATTATAATATTAACCAAAAGGAGGACTTGAAATTTGAAAACAGGTTACAAAAGACAATACTACTACAAAGGTTTCAGTTAACAATAAGATACAACAATTTAAAACATTTAAGTACCTAATGAGAAACCACATATAAACATATGGGCAACACTGAAAGTATAGTAATAAATTTTTATGAAAATATCTCTAATTCAAAAAGTCTTAACTTTTGGCAGACCCGACAGCAAAGTTAATAATGAACACTGAGATCATTTAAGATAATACTCAGCCTGTTTAAATTTAACCTGCCTTTAAGAAAACAGTGTAACCAATCTTACTATGTCTTGGATTTTCTGGGCAATCAACTTTTACAATCTAAGTTAAACATAGTTTGAATTTTAAATAATGAAGTTTTCTACCCTGAACCAAAGTAATGTATTTGTGTATGTGTGTTGTAATCATTTGCTAAAAGCAGCCAAGAGGCTGGAAGCATCCAATGTCTACCATAAATGTTGGAAGCAATGTGGATATAGCTTGATGATGCCTATCTGCAGTACTGTTTGCTATTCAAGAGTCAGCTTGGGCCAGTAAAGTAATTTTTCTTGTAAAATTCTGTTAAAGATTTCTGTGAAGTATCACTGATTCCATTCACACGCCATGTTTACTGTGCTGTTTAGTAAATACAGAAGAAAGTCATTTGTTAGGGACAGTCAGAGATTCAGGGGCATAACTGACATAAGGCACAACTTACAGGCAACAGGGACAGACAGATTAGACAGGTAGATAAGCAACCAGACTACAGACCCAGGAAGAGGCAGAGAATTGAAATTTAGGCTCATTCTTGTTAAATTAACCCAAGAAGAAGGTGCTGTTTTCATTCCTTAATGAAACATGGGCAGGACTTCTGAGGTTATTATCTTTAATGTGTTAACCTAGTGTGTATTGGCAAGACAGAACTAGACAGAAGAGAGCTATATAAAATCATAGGAATTTCAATACTTTATTCTCAATAATGGCCAGAATTAAGAGAGAAGAAAAACAGGGGAATAGAGGACTCAGGTTTATCATAACAGACTAACTAGACCTACACTGAAGTTATAACAAAAGCACCAGTTCAAAGGTGGTACTCCCTCTATAGAGATGGAGTTCTGTCCTCTTAAGTTGCAGGATATATTCCAAATTAAAAAAACCTTTAAAGTTTTCTTATGAGGAAAAACTATCGGGATTAGGAACAAGAAGTAAAGTACAAACTGCCCTGCCTACCCTAGCTCCTAATCTGTTCATGTCTCACATCCACATGGAAAGAGATCGTGACACCAACAGGGGAATGTGTTTGCCTAAGCACAAAGGAAGTAAGAAGTGCATTAAAGGGGTAGAAGCTAGTGGCACTGGGTGTCCTACTGTAGACAGTGATGTCCCTCCAGCTCTCCCTGCAGAAAGGGACTCCCTTGAGGCAGCAGTGGTGCTTCTACCGGGTGGTGTTTCAGGGACCCTCTCAGCTACTGAGTGCCATTTCACTGAATACACACCTTTCTCAATGTAACATGACTCCAATGACTGAGTCAGACGAAAGGCCTGATGTGTATGGTCAAAACCAAAGTGACAAGTCATTTTAGTTTCATAGCTCTTCACACAGGTGCTACCAGCATAGCACATTGCCATAGATGTTCTACTTCTCCATGGGTCCTACTACTCCCCCACCCTACCTCTTCACCCCAGGGGTACCTCCTAATAAATGTGCTGCCTAATAAACTCTCTCTCTCAGTATCTGCTTCTAAGAGGACCCAACCAACAACACTGTCAAGAGATAACAGTTGTTTAGATGAAAGTGGCGGAGGTCAGGGTGTTGAGAAATGGGTTCATATAATTTTAAGCGATATATTTAAATCCTGCTGAAGGGATGGAAGTGAAGAGAAACGAGAAAAAGGAACAGGAATTTCTTTATTTTAATTAATTAATTTATTCTTCTTTCATATATTACATCCTGACTACAGTTTCCCTCTCCCCTGCTCCTCCCAGTCCCTTCCTCTCCACCTCTGCTCTCCCCCAGATC